GGGGAGCCGTGGAGTGTGCAGGGGAGGCAGGAGCAGTGGGATCGTAGACGTCGGCGGATGAAGGTGGCGGAAGCGGGGTGGGGAGGGGTGGGAGGAGGGGAGGGAGGACGGTGTCGGCCCAAGCGAGAGGACGTGTGGGAGGAGGGAGGGGGTCCGGTGGTGGAGAGGAGTAATATGGGGTGGTCTCATCAAACAACGTCAATGCTGCGGATGAGGCGACCAGAGGGAGGGTGAAGGAAGAGGTAACCAGGCGAGTCGCGGTTGTGTCCGAGGTAGACACACTCGAGGGCGCGAGGAGCGAGCTTGCCTTGGGTGCGGTCGGGTGGAGGAATAAGCACATATGCCTTGCAACCCCAGACACGGAGACCGGCAGCGTCAGGTTTGGTTCCTGACCAGAGCTCCGTGGGGGTAGTGGCAGTGTGTTGGGGATGGGAGTGAAGGTTGAGGAGGAGGGCAGCATGGAGGAGGGCATAGCCCCAGAGAGAGGGAGGGGTGGAGGCGTGAGCGAGGAGACAGCGGGCGATCTTAGTGATTTCGCGAATGCGGCTTTCTGCAACGCCGTTCTGCTGTGGGGAGTGGGGAAGAGTGTGGGTCTGTTGGATGCCATGGGTGGTGCAGTAGTGAGAGAGAGTGCGGTTGAGGAATTCGCCTCCCCCATCAGAGTGGAGGCGGCCGATGGGACGTTTGAAGTGGGTGCGGCATTGCTCTGCCCAGTTAATGATAATGGTCGGCGCCTGGTCTTTGGTGTGGAGGAGGAAAATGGAGGAGTAGCGGCTGTGATCGTCAACAAGAACCAACATGTAGCGATGGCCTTGGCGTGAGCGGGTGGGAGAGGGCCCCCAGAGGTCCATATGGACAAGGTCAATGGGTGCAGGAGCGAAGGATGGGTGGCTGTGGTGAGGAGATTGTTTGAGTTTGCCGTGGATGCAGGAGGGGCAAGGGGGGCTGGGGAGGAGGGAAGGGGAGGAAGAGTTGGAGGGAGGCTGTGAAGAAGTCGTGAGGTGACGGCAGTGCGGAGAGCGGCAAAATTCGGATGGCCGAGTCGGTGATGTAGGAGAACAGCGGGGTGGGAGAGATGGTCGGAGGTGGAGGGGATTGGAATGGGCGAGTGGGGACGGATGGAGGAGTGGGGGGGAGGCGGAGTGGGAGGAGTGGGAGGGAGATGGGGAGGGCTGGTGGAGGTACCCGCACGAGTGGTAACATGGCAGGAGGATGGCCACGGAGTGCGGAGAGTGTAGAGGCGAGTGCGGGGGCAGAGGGGTATGCGGAGGAGGAAGCGGCCGGAGGCAGTGTGGTAAAGGTCACAGTAGGTGGCATTACCAGGATAGACGGCAGTGATACCTGCACCTTGGATTTCACGGTGGGAGAGGAGGTTGTTTCGGAGAGTGGGGATGTGGAGACCAGTTACCTTGCCAGAGGGGAAGAGTGAGCAGGGGAGAGTGGAGAGGTGTGTGCATGGGATGGTGAAGCTGCTGTCAGCACCGTGAACTTGAGTGGGAGGGGAGAGGGGTGTGAGTGTACCAGCATCTTTGAGGGCGGTCTCAATGGCCCCACTGTCAAGGACAAAGTCCAGAGTGGGTGAGGAGGAGGAGGAAGACACTGAGTACTGGAAAGTGGTTTCATTAATGTTGGATGGGTACATGGAAGGAAGAGAGGGCGAAATAGCTATGTTGCCAAGGAAGCTCTCGTGAGTGAGAGGGGTGGCAGTGCTACTGGGGGGGGGTGGGGCACCCCAAAGGGGGCTGGTGAGGCCTGGGCGGCCATGGCTGCTGTGCCAAAGTTCGGCTGCTGCTGCGGCCAGGGGGGAGGGCTGGGTCCCCACTGTGGCTGGGGTCCTGACCCCCATGGGTGCTGCGGCGGCTGTGGCTGCTGCTGCTGCTGCGGCTGAGGGTGAAACAGCTGCTGTAACTGCTGCTGCTGCTGCTGCTGCTGCTGCAGGAGGTGCTGCTGCTGGAGGTTGAGAAAAGGTGTGGGGGGAGCAAGGAGGCGGAGGTGGGCAGGGAGGTAGGCTGGATTGGTTTGGATATCGGTGGGGGAGGGGCGTGGGGAGATGTTGCCCCACTTTGGAGGAGTGCCAACGTTTCCCCGTGCATACCAGGCATCATCGAGAGCCTTGAAGCACGTGCCAGGGGGATGGTTGGTCTGTCCGCAGGGAGTTCCAGCCCGAGGACCATAGCGGCGGACATAGGTGCAGGGAGGAAGCGTGCCAGGGCGACTCCCGCGACTTGCAGTGGGTCCACCCGAAGTGGTGGTGCCGTGCTCATCCCCAGTGGTGCCACCACGGCTGCTGCTGCTTCCTTGCCCACCCCCTCCCTTGCCCCCACCTCCTCCTTTGCCGTTGTTCTTTCCCTGCTTGCGAGGCTGGGTAGCGTTGAGGGAGGAGGAGGTGGGTTGGGAGGAGGCGAGGTTGACGATGGGTGTACGGAGTTTAACTTCGGTGTCGATAATCCACTGTTCAACGGAGGCGAGATCGGCTAAACATGGGATGGGCTTCGGTAAAGGCGTGGAGGCGGGATTCGTAGTCTGGGGTGAGGTTAAAGAGGAGGCGGTGGATTTGAAGAGGTTCGGAGAGGCCGGCCTGGCGGGCTTCAAGGCGACCAGCTACCTCGCGCATGCGTCCGACATAATCGACTGCTCCGTCGCAGGTGGCGAGGGTGATGGAAAAATACTCTTGGAAGAGGATGCCGACGGAGCTGATGTCGCGGCGTTCAAATATGGCATGGAGTTCTGCCCAGATGACCGAGGCACGGAGTTCCCGAGCCTGGAAGCGACGCATGAGGGAGTCAGGGAGAGCTCCAAGGAGAACGGTGCAGGCACGGGTGTCAGCAGCTGTCCAGGCGATGAGTCTGGGGGTGAAGTCAGCCATGTCGACCTTGTATTTGGCGACGACGGCGAGGTGAGCGTTGCGGCCAGCAACCGCCTGGTCATAGGCTTCGACTGCTGCATCGTACTCGGCTTTGCGGATAAGGTATTCACGGCGGCGTAAGATAAAATCAGCATCAGCGGTGGCTTGGTCGGCGGTGATCTGAAGGTCGGGTTCTCGAGGAGGGTTGCCAGGAGCGGGAGGAAGAGGAGGAGTCTCACCAGGGTGGGGAGGTTCGGTGGGGGAGGGCATGGGGGCGGCGGAGGATGACGTCAAGGACACGGTAGGGGGGAACCCATGCGTCGGAGAGAACGCGTCGGATGCTGCCGACGAAGGAGTGCCAGTTGACTGCGGACTTGTCCGCGGCGAGTTGTAGCTTATCAATGGAGGACGTATCAATAGGGGGAGGAAGTGGAGAGGGGGAGGGTGTAGTGGTAGCCATGATGGACGGCTGCAGGTGGACCCGCAGTGGTCACGGAGGAGCGTGAGAAGCAACGGCAGCGAGGCCACAGGGGGAGGGGGGGGGGAGGGAAGTGGCGCGGGCAGCAGCGGCTGGCGAGGCCGCGGCGGCTGGCGCGGAGGCGGCGTTGAGGCCGCGGAGAGGCGCGGGCGGCGGGGGCTGGCGAGGCCGCGGCGGCGCTGGCGCGGAGGCGGCGTTGATGCCGCTGGAGGGAAAGTGCGGGGGGAGGCAGCGGCTGGTTAGGCCGCGGCGGCTGGCGCGGAAGCGGCGACGAGGCCGCGGAGAGGTGCGGGCGGCAGCGGCTGGCGAGGCCGCGGCGGCGCTGGCGCGGAGGCGGCGACAAGGCCGCGGAGAGGCGCAGGCGGCGGCGGCTGGCGGGGCCGCGGCGGCGTTGGAGACTAGGAGAGTAGGTCCTAGGATTGTAAGCTCTATACCATGTGAGAATAATAGTTGAAATGAAGTTGATGACTTGATTGAGGAGGATGGGGGTTTACATAGGGCATGGGTTGGATCCTAGCCTAGGTGAGCATTATTGGACCCCAACCAAGGAGTTGGGTTGGGAGATTATTGGTGGGGTCCAATAATGTTGGCCAAGTTGGAGTTGGGCCAACATTATTGGAGGGGACCAATAATTCTACCCATCCCAACCCTTGGGGTCCAATAATTGGACCAAGGTTGGGTTTCCAACCTACAAATTGGGTAACCCCTGCTTGTACACCCAAACTAAGTTTGGGTGCTTAATTCTAGCCCATCCTGTAGTATATATGCAGGTTACAAGAGAGGATATTTTCTAACATATTGTACCACACACACATACCTGATGATGGACGTGCTTAGTAGCCTCTTGGCTTCGCGCACATGAGCTGGCTTCACCTGATTGGCCAGGGCGCACATGGGGGATGAGAGTGGATTCAGACAACATGGGAAAGAACGGGATTGGAGGAGGCATTGATGGATGGTGGTACTACGGGGGAAACCACCTATCATGCAACTACCCACCCCAACATACCACTTATCCCAACCCCACCGCTTCACCCACCTGTGAATCCAGGTGCAGGCGAGCCAGAGCCTCTGATAGACTCATGAGCGCCCCACATTACATTGATATTCACCCACTCACCCATCCCCACCGCTTCACACACCTGTGAGTCCAGGTGCAGCCGAGCCAGCGCCTCTGACAGCCGCACAAGCGCCTCCAGCTGTCGCACCGTGATTCGGTACGACGACTGCGACCCAGGCGCAGCGTCCCCTCGTCTGAGCGACACGTAGGCCTCTACAAGCCGCGTCTTAGCCTCCTCTGTGATCTGATGGGGGGGTGCATGCAGGCAGATATTGGGAGACAAGAAGCATAAGGGTGTGATTTGGTATGACGACTGATCTGATGGGGGGTGAATGGATGGAGGCGAGAAACAGGAGAGTGAGGAAGAACCTAAGATGTGTGCGTGCATGCTGCATGAGTGCTGTGCATCATTTTCAGGGACAGACACACTCACCTCTGGTCGAATGAAGCGCGCGAATTGACTTTTGAGTCGACTCAAAAGTCACCTCTCTCACCTCTGGTCGGATGGAGCGCGCGAATTGACTTTTGAGTCGACTCAAAAGTCACCTCACTCACCTCTGGTCGGATGGAGCGCGCGAATCGACTTATGAGTCGACTCAAAAGTCACCTCACTCACCTCTGGTCGGATGGAGCGCGCGAATCGACTTATGAGTCGACTCAAAAGTCACCTCACTCACCTAAGGTCGGATGGAGCGCGCGAATTGACTTTTGAGTCGACTCAAAAGTCACCTCACTCACCTAAGGTCGGATAGAGCGCGCGAATTGACTTTTGAGTCGACTCAAAAGTCACCTCACTCACCTCTGGTCGGATGGAGCGCGCGAATTGACTTTTGAGTCGACTCAAAAGTCACCTCACTCACCTCTGGTCGGATGGAGCGCGCGAATTGACTTTTGAGTCGACTCAAAAGTCACCTCACTCACCTCTGGTCGGATGGAGCGCGCGAATTGACTTTTGAGTCGAATCAAAAGTCACCTCACTCACCTCTGGTCGGATGGAGCGCGCGAATTGACTTTTGAGTCGACTCAAAAGTCACCTCACTCACCTCTGGTCGGATGAAGCGCGCGAATTGACTTTTGAGTCGACTCAAAAGTCACCTCACTCACCTCGGGTCGGATGGAGCGCGCGAATTGACTTTTGAGTCGACTCAAAAGTCACCTCACTCACCTCGGGTCGGATGGAGCGCGCGAATTTGATGTATTTCTGCAGCTGCAGCGTGGAGAACTCCGGCTGTAGCGCCCGGTCGCGGCTCTGATGCACCGTGAGGATGTGGCGAGCCACCGAGTAGTCATGGACTGGGTCAGGCGTGTCCAGCATGACGTGCACGAGATCAAACCTTGACAGAATGGCTGGTGGCAGGGCGACGTTGTACTGAGGGGGGGGTAGGGAGGAGGAGTGTGGGGTTGGGGGGGAGAAGTTGTGAAAGGGCACATTGCACATTGCATCGTGAGGATGTGGCGGGTGACCGAGTAGTCGTGCACGGGGTCTGGTGTATCCAGCATGACGTGGACAAGATCGAAGCGAGACAGGATGGCTGGTGGCAGGGCGACGTTGTACTGAGGGGGGAGGGAGGGAGGGGTGTGGGGGTGGGGGGGGGAGAAGTTGTGAAAGGGCACATTGCATCGTGAGGATGTGGCGGGCGACCGAGTAGTCGTGCACGGGGTCATGCGTGTCCAGCACCACGAGGACGAGATCGAAACGGGAGAGAATCGCCAGTGGCAGGGCGACGTTGTACTGGGATGGGGGAAAAGAGGGCATGGAGGGCAAGGGCAGAGAGGGCATGGTGAGGATTTGGCGGGCCACGGAGTTGTCCAGCATGACATGCACCAGGTCGAATCGAGAGAGGATGGCTCGTGGGAGGGCCACATTGTACTGGATGGAAGAGGAGGGAAGGGGAGGGAAGGGGTTACATGTGGGTCGCTGTTGAGAACACTCACAATGGGGTACGAGTGAGGGAAAACGAGAAAACGAGGGAGTGATGAGAATGCGCACACAGGGCATAATGTGCTGAGGCAATTTGTGGTAATCACACAAAGGGGATCACTCGAAGGGGCTTATTCCAAGGGGGGCATTCCAACAGGGTTACTCCCAGGGGCTTACTCTGAGGGGCTTGGAGCGGTCGTATCTTCCTCCAGTGGGGTTGGCAGCAGCAAGTATGGACGTGCGTGCGTTGAGTGTGGCCTGAATGCCTGCCTTGGTGATGGAGATGGTCTGCTGCTCCATGGCCTCGTGAATAGCCACCTGTTCGGTTGGTGTGAGGGAGAAAAAGACATGCACACGCTGAGAAGGGAGACTGTGCGCATGCATTGAGGTGACTTTTGAGTCGACTCAAAAGTCATGATGTGAATGCCCGCCTTGGTGATTGAGATCGTCTGCTGCTCCATAGCCTCGTGAATAGCCACCTGTTAGCAAGGTGCGTGTTGCCTGTTAGCAAGGGCGAGAGAGAGAGTTAGGGCAGAGTGTGTGTTGCTTTGACGTGCGTGTGTTGAGCGAGGCCTACCTTAATGACAACGGATTCCTCTCACCTGGTCGTTAATATCCAACTTATCAAACTCATCGATACAGCAAATAATGTTACGTGAAAGCATGCAAAGCCATATCCGCCAGGCATATAGAGCCATTGCAAAGCATGTCCCTCAAGGATAGCCATTGCAAAGACACACCTAAGCATGTGTTGCCTAAAGGATAGCACAACACATCCCCCTCATCTGATCCTTAATATCCATTTTTTTCAAACTCGTCGATGCAGCAGATGTCATTATCCGCCAGCATGGTTCACATAACCTCATTCCGCTCACCTCATTCCATTCATGATAACTCACCAGCTCTTTGTCTCACCAGCTCATTGTCTCACTCGCTCCTCCTCTCACCTGGTCCTTGATATCCATCTTGTCCAAGTCATCAATGCAGCAGATGCCATTATCCGCCAGCATGAGAGTCACCGTGAAGATTTGCCTCTGTGTAATCGCATTCACCCCATCTTCAGCATTCCTACTCTTCCTCTCACCTGGTCCTTGATGTCCATCTTATCAAACTCATCAATGCAGCAGATGCCATTATCCGCCAGCATCAGCGCGCCCGCCTCAATGCAGAACTCCCCCGTCTCTGGCTCCTTCACCACACTCGCTGTCAACCCCGCTGCACTGCTGGACTTGCCAGATGTGTACACAGCACGGGGCAGAAACCCAGCTACATACCTGAGAGGGGGGAAAGAGAGGGAGGGAGGAGAGGGGGAAAGAGAGGGAGGGAGGGAAGAGAGGGGGGAAAGAGGTCATGCCCGCCTCAATCAACAACTCCCCCCGTCGCTGGCTCCTTCACCACACTCGCTGTCAATCCCGCTGCACTGCTGGACTTGCCAGAGGTATAAACCACACGGGGGAGGAACCCAGCCACATACCTGAAGGTGGCGGGGTGGGGAGGAAGACAAGAAGCAAAGAGAGGGATGAAAGAGAGGGAGGGAGGGAAGAGAGGGGGGAAAGAGGTCATGCCCGCCTCAATGCACAACTCCCCCGTCTCTGGCTCCTTCACCACACTCGCTGTCAACCCCGCTGCACTGCTGGACTTGCCAGAGGTATAAACCGCACGGGGGAGGAACCCAGCCACGTATCTGGTGGTGGAGTGGTGGTAGGGAGGAGGCAGGGACAAGACAAAGAGGGAGGAAAGAGGGCTGTGAGCAATGCAATGCAGAATTCCCCCGTCGCTGGCTCCTTCACCACACTCGCTGTCAGCCCTGCTGCAATGCTGGACTTGCCAGATGTGTACACCGCCCTGGGAAGGAACCCAGCCACCCTCCACTGACTCACTCAGAGTAGACACACCACAACACTCACTCACTCACTCACGCACTCACTTAGGAACTGGGACTTGGCGCAGGAGGGGCCCCCCACAACACAAACGTTAATATCCCCTCGCAGGTCGTGCGTCTTCTTGTGCCCCAACTCCGCCAAACAGCATCAACAGGATGGCTCACTTGATGTCTACATGCCCGTAGAAGAGAGACTGATGATGGTGAAGGGTGGGAGGTACTCACTTGAGGAACTGGGACTTGGCGCAGGAGGGGTGGGTCCCCCCACGACACACACGCACGTTGATATCTCCTCTCAGATTGATGCCCTCGTGGGTCTTCTTATGCACCCCGCCAAACAGCATCAGCAGGATGGCTCGCTTGATGTCTGCATGCCCGTACACCCATCCACACCCCCTCTCCTCACTCACTCCCCACGCACTCACTTGAGGAACTGTGACTTGGCGCAGGACGGGTCCCCAACGACACACACGTTGATATCCCCACGCAGATTAATCCCCTCGTGGGTCTTCTTATGCACCCCGCCAAACAGCATCAGCAGGATGGCTCGCTTGATGTCTGCATGCCCGTACACCGACGGCGCCACACTCGCCACCAGCCGCTCATACAGGTTCCCTCCTGCCCGCATGCGGGCCATTTCCTCCCGCTCCTCAGGCTGCAAGAGGGGAGGCGGGAAGAGCAACATGGGAGCGTCTGCATGCCCATACACCGACGGTGCCACACTCGCCACCACTAGCCGCTCATACAGGTTCCCTCCTGCTCTCATGCGAGCCACTTCCTCGCATTCTTCAGGATGCATGAAGAGGGGGATAAGTCATGAGCCATCCTTACCTAGGTAAGGGAAGTGGGATTTGGTTTTTGAGAATTCTCCGAGAAAACCAGCTCGTAGTCATGAGCCATCCTTACCTAGGTAAGGGGAGTGGGAAATTCTATGTCAACTACATAGCCAATGCTAGGAAACGCTGTACCAACTTACTGCACTGCTTTACTCTGCAGCACTACGCCAGATCGCACCGAACTGCTCCGCACCGCACTGCACTCCAACGTACCGTGAACAAAGCGACAGCACTGCCCTCCTCGTCCTCCGCCCTGATATTCACCAGCTGCTTCTCCTGATCCCCCGACTGCACAGAACACGCTATGAATGCTGCACCCGCCTACTACCTTGCACCGCACTGCACCAAATTGCACCAAAGTGCACTCCAACGTACCGTGAATGAAGCGACAGCACTGCCCTCCTCGTCCTCCGCCCGGATATTCACCAGCTGCTTCTCCTGATCCCCCGACTGCACAGAACACGCCAAAAACGCCAACCGGTACGACAAATCCCGCACACCCAGCGCCTTCAGCCCCCTCACCCCCTCACTCCCCCCTCCCCCCGCTCCCCCGCCCCCTCCCCCCAGCCCCCCTCCCCCCCCCTCCCCCACCCTCTCCCCTCTCCCATCCCCCCCCTGATTTGACCGCATAGCCTCATGCCTCTCCCCCGGGCGGGTCAACGCAGCCACATCTGGGACCACCACCAGCGTCCCAGAGAATATACACTTATCGCCGGCTCGCGCCTGCTCCACCAACTCATGCCGTAAGATCACGTCTAGAGTGCGGGGGAGCGACCCAGGAGGGACTTCATCTGCGTTTTCCTGAACACGCACCCTCTGCCAGTCTACAAACTGACATTCCGTTCGCTCTAGCGCCCATTTTTCCCTGTTAGAGCACGCTGCGTTACTGCATATGATGGGCTGTGTGTATTTGAACTGCTGCTCCACGTTCCGCTGCACCGCGCCGCACTCCAAGCATCGGAACGTGCCGTACAGCAGCTCCGGCCGGACCTCGGAGGTTCGGACAACCACACCACTCACTGCGGACAGCTGGCCCAGCACCTCCACCTTCATGTCCCTCAGCCTGGAAGATGAGGGGAAAAAGATGGGAGAATGGGAAGATTGAGAGGAAGGTGAGCAGGGGAGAGGAAAGGAAAGGGGGATGGGGTGACAGCACACCCCTCAGTGCGGATAGCTGGCCTAGCGCCTCTACATGTGGATGGCAGGGAGGTTGTAGATGGCGATGTAGAACTCCTTGGGCTTGCCCTCATCCTGCACAAACACCTGAACAAACACCTGAGGCGACTCTGAATGCTTACTTGTGGATGACGGGGAGGTTGTAGAAGGCGAGGTAGAACTCCTTGGGCTTGCCTTCGTCCATCACGTACTTGGGCTCGTGCACCTGCACAAACATCTGCACCGCCTTGCGCAGGAACGGCTCAAACCTGCATGCACGCATGCACGCATGCATGGAGTACATGCATGCAAGCATGGAATACATGCATGCAAGCATGGAGTACATGCATACAGCAGACATGTGCACGCATACAAGAACATGCAAGAGTGGAAATAAGGACACTTGATATCCAACATGTGAAAGGTACTTGGACTTGTTCCCCCGCACAAACATCTCCACCGGCTCGCATAGGAATGGCTCAAACCTGCATGCATCCATGTGTGTTTGCAGCAGACACGTGCAAGCATCCACGTAAATGGTCGTCTTGCCATACTGCATCATGGATGAACCGCATTCCACCGCTACTCACCGGTAAAACTCCTCCAGAACCGCTGTGGCGAGTGCCTGGTTGTGCGTCATGAGCGTGGCGAAGTCCACATACATGGTCGTCTTGCCGTACTGCACCATGGAATGCAGCTGCGCCACGTACTCGCGCACCACTGGCCCGTCCTCCGCCTCCTCCTCGTGCTCCTCGCCTCTCTGCTCCGCCCTGCCACCAGGTCCAGTCCAGCCAGACATAGCAAATCATATCCAGCCAGGCATAACCATCCAAATTAAGCCAGACATAGCCATCCAGATCCAGATCCAGCCAGACAAAGCCATCCAGATGCAGTCCAGCCAGACATAGCCATCCAAATCCAGCTAGACATAGTCTGGCAAGCCCCCAAAGCCGGCAGGCAGTCAATAACAAAAAACTAACCCCAACGACCATAGTCCAGATGCGAATGGCTGTCATTCAGCAAGACAGCAACGGAGAATCCATTTTCGAAGAAGTGATAGCCATAGATTCACATCCCCGTGAATAAAAAAAATCACATTCAGTTCCATGCTTCCTTTTTTCCTTTCCTAACAACACGTTTCGGATTCACATCTCACCACTTTCGACTTCGACGACCCGCTAGGGAACGCATTTCCCCTGAAAGAATGCGAAAATGCATATACGCAACGTTGCTTACGTCTGCAAGAAGTCGAAGAAGCTTCGCTGAACATTCTCCCCCTGAGTGTCGACAGCTGCAGCACGCGGGAAATCCGGCCTTCCCTGACCACCAAAACCCCCTCCCACCTGAGCAGCACCAGCTCCAACACCGTTCATCCTCTAAAGATCTGGCAAGTATCGGGATCCGTGAGGGCTGAAATTTCCCCGGCAAACTAGACAGATCGGGTGTTGACCTGTAGTCGACTCTCGAAATCGAAGTGCTAAGCCATCCAAGTTAGCCAAAACGTAACTCTTAACCGAGTCAAACCATCTAGATTTGATCAGATGTGTTAGTCAACTAACTGAGTCTGGCTGGAATTAGTCTGACACCTTGAGTGTAACCCGTTCGCGCCAAAACTGGGTAATTGGGATCGGAAACGTGAACTTCGATTGTCAGGAATTTTGGACGCGTACTCTACACTGAAAGTTTCTTTATACGAAGTGCAGAATATCTGCAGTTTGTTGGATACCAGAAACACATTACAGTACTCGTATTGCGTTCTTGGCACTCGTAACCAACACGGTCTCGATAACGTGAATGGTAAAAAGTAACGCGTACGGCACTGTATCAGGTTTTCCGACGGGTTTGGTAAGTAGGGTCACGGATTCAGTCACTAACAACAGGTAAAAAATCACGCGAATGGTCACACATGTAACTCCCGCCAAAAAAACTTGAAACTCTACAATCTTCCCGTTCGCGCCCAACCAATCTGCTAGCTTCTAAAAAAACTAAACCCAATCGGAATTGGATGCGGTTTGGGAACGAATCCACCCTAAACACATGGAGAGCTATGTGTTTAGGGTTGATTCGTCCGAAAATGCATCCAAATTCCTTTTGGGTTTAGGGTTTATATATATATATATATACATTTCTTTTTTTTTTTTGCGGGAGTTTCATCCATGACCATTCGCGTGATTTTTTACCAGTTAAGAGTGACTGATTATGTTTTATCAATCGTGTTAAAACAGCCTTTGCAGTTACCGTACCCGTTTTTTTTTTTTTTTTTTTTTGGGTTGCGAAGCAACCCTTTACGATCGATTTTGGCAATTTTTTTTTCATGTTTTTTTTTAATAAAACATGAAAATAAAATTCGCAAGCTACAGTACCTCCCTTCCCATTGTACATGTTGAATAGTTTTGAATATTGATAGCAGTTTTTTTTAGTCGTTTTGTGCATAAATGCTATACTGTTTGTATTATGGTATACCTTTTACTGTTTGATGTTGTTGTGAATAAATAGTATGAATATTAGCAATGATTTACATGCCACCCATGCTTAAATGAATGTAATGATGAGGCATGATATATAGATGTATAATACCGATACACGCATGAAAATGATTCTGTATGCACGTGATATGCTGAAATGCACCACACCAGTATATCATACAAATGCGTGATAGTTAACGACCCAAAAACTAGGCTACCGCATCCCCTGCCTAGCATGGGGGGGAAGTCAATAGCAAAGTCTTTGAATAATCAACTAGCACATGAAACAATACAATCTGTTAACTCTAAAAAACAAGTTCACTCTATCAAATCCAGTTCGAAGTGGCAAACACACGAGTCACTGAGTGCGCCAATGAACCAATGAGAAATGATAGAAATGAACCCCTTTTTTAAAATTGACAGACATGCATTGTTATTGCAATGACAGATGAGATGCATGCACTCAGACTAGCAAACGCATTCACACAATCAAAAGCACGAACACCGTCAAACCCAGCAAAAAACGCGCGATAATAAATAACACGCAAATTAATGCTACAATGACAATATGATAATAAATCCTATCAGTGGCCACTACAAAAAACAACCAGCAAGGCTCCTGAGAACGGGTTTAGGAAGTGGAAAGGAGGATCGGAAAGAAATAGTTGGTTAAAAAAAAAAAAAAAAAACACAGAAAATGGTATGAGGTGACTAATAGCAAGGAGAAGAATGCACCGTGGCATAAAACGAAAGTAAGGAACGGCAACAGAGGGAAAAACACATAACGAGACAGAAAACGAAAGAAGAGAATTCAACGAATATAGAGAGAGAGAGAGAGAGAGTGAGAGCGAAAGCGAGAGAGAGGACGAGAGAGAGACAACAAACGAGAGAGAGAACGAGAGAGAGAGAGAGAGAGAGAGAGAGAGAGAGAGAGAGAGAGAGAGAGAGAGAGAGAGAGAGGGAGAGAGAGAGAGAGAGAGAGAGAACGAAAAAGAACGAGAGAGAGAACGAGAGAGAGAGAGAGAGAGAGAGAAAGAGAACAAGAAGAGAGAGACCGAGTGAGAAAGAAGGAGAAAGAGAGAACGACAGGAGAACGAACGAGAGAACGAACGAGAGATAGGGAGAGAGAGAGAGAGAGAGAGAGAGAGAGAGAGAGAGAGAGAGAGAGAGAGAGAGAGAGAGAGAGAGAGAGAGAGAGAGAGAGAGAGAGAGAGATTTCAATCAACTGCGGAAAAAACCTATGTAGCATAGGGGACAATAATAGAAACTAAGAACGAAACGATGCAGCTACGAATCGAAGGAGTGGCTAATCGTAGAGTCAGAAAAAAGAGAAGGGAGGGTGAAGAAAGGATAAAGAAAAAAAATTCACAAAAACCAAGACTAACGTCACTAGATGCGGAATTTATGAAAAGGAAGGAACAACTCGTCTCAAGAAGCGGAATGAACGAGATCAATAAAGAACGAACATGGGACTGGAAGGAAAAGAGAAAGGAAAAACAACAACCGAAAAGCATATAAATAGAGACAACGATTCAAGGTAAGACGAGAGATAAGAGCGCGATATGGAATGAGGAAAAAAGCCTTAGCCTTATTAACGACCGAAGGCAGGCTGACGTCCTTACGAAGGCCTATAACTTAGGGCTTTAATCGCTTTTGTTCCGTTAAAACGACCGAATGCGTTAGTAAACGAAGATTTCAGTCTAGCTTGTAATCGTCAACCTTAGTCTCTACTTAATAGATAGAAGTCTTCTAACCTTTAAGAGATACTAGCAACTGCAGCGTGAGTACCGTTCCGACTTGAAGAACCCAGCTCCACTCACGGGTGGGAGGGACGAATAAGAAACGAAGAGGAAAGGGACATCGAAACCCTAGAGCAGTTCCAATTGTGTCGCGTTGACACAGAAGGGAATATTTAAAAACTACGGCAGATGTGTCGTTTGTAGCGCAGTTGTAAGAAAATCAGTTGGGAGCCGAAAAGTGTGTAGTTTGAGTCCAGGAAGCCTCACCGCCATGCCACTTTTTGAAAGCTACACAAAATGATTGTTGGAACTTCCAAGTTTGTACACTCTAAAAGCTCTACACGTTAATGTACTTCTGCAAAATGCTTCGCAACCCTTAAGACGATTTCGTCGCCTCTTTTTTTTTTTTTTTTTTTTAACCAAATGTGTTATCGAGTCCTATATTGGTTACAAATGGCATAATTTCCTCTTCTTGGAAAAGCCCAAGCCCCTGTGTCATCGCTCTGGCAGCATTATTGGGGGCTGTGAAGTGGTAAACCAGGTGAAAGCACAGCACAGCGTTACCGCACCCGATGTTTCCTGCCATTTGATTCGCTAGCGTGAGGTTTCGTTGAATTTCTTCCAAGGCACAATGCGCCGCATCCCCCAAGCCCCTTCGAATGAATGCATCCTGAAGTGGCCCTGCTAGCTAGCTGGCTCACTTCCGAAAGATAAGGTCCCGGGATCAATTCCCCCCTGCGGCGTATTCTGCCAGCTCCGACTAAAAGGGGCTACACAGGTGCTCACCTGGGAGTGGATAGAACAACCTCGTTACCCAACGAGCCGTGTTGTAAGGAATTGTAATTCCTTACTCTAGTCGCACTTTAGCGAGTACATCCTGAGGGTCACGCGACGAACCTGTTCGGCCTATTTCGTCGCACCGAACCACTCCTAAGTCGCCTCCGCACGAATCGCAACCATCACCAAGCCATCTTCGCCCTACCTCTTCGCATAGCTAATTTTTCCTCTATTTAGGCGTGCCATTCTCATTGGATCGGCATTCAGGAATTAATCATTCGCGTTATTCGTTAGTCTGCGCACTCAGCAAGTTCATTCATAACACGTGTAAACAAATGGGTCGGCGGGTTACGTGTGACAGCCAGGGTAACACTCAAGAGTTTGTTATGAGTTGTGAAAGAGAAGAGTGCGCAGAATGCAATAACGTGGAAGTAATTACAACGTCGAGCAAATAATGAGGCCTAGGACTAGTATAGCAGAACTAGCTAGGCGACCGTCGCGGGGTCGCGAGATGGTTGGGTGCAGGTTCGGGGTTGGAAAACCCGAAGGCGACGCGGTTGATGGTGGTTTGGAAGGGGAGGTCGTCGGACCGAGCCTGGTTTCCGAAAGCTGGAGTTGTACGCGTACAGTGTGATACAGTAAGGAATCCAAGAAAATTCCTTACACTCCCCCCCCCCCCCCCCCCCCCCCCCCCCCCCTTTTAAAAAAGGTGGTGTATATCCCGGACACCCCGGCGGGCCATATAAGCGTCCACAACCGGATGTCCTTGTAGCGAGTCAGCCGCGACGTACGTGGCGTCCTCGCTCGTGCGATCCCTCCAGCGAAGCCGGAAAATTACTTTGTGTCCAGCAGCCGACAGATCCACGCGATGGTTTAAAATCTTCCAGGGTTCGAGCGTAGGTTCAACCACAGGTCGTGTGGTTGGTGCTATTGAGGGACGAGCGACAGCTGGTGACTGTGGTGGCTCATAGTGGCGCAGGAGGCTGACGTAGAACGCGTCATGTATCTTTCACTCATTGGGCAGCAACAGCTTTGCGATGACAGGTGTCACCATCTGGACGATGCGAAAAGGGCCGACGTATCGTGGTCGAAGTTTCACAGGCTGGGGCAAACGTATATTTTTCGTGTCGAGGAGGACGACTTGCCCAGTGTGGAAGGGTAAATCTTGTTGGTGCTTTTCCACATTGCGAATAGCCGCAGTATTAGCCTTGTTGATAAAATCTGCAGCCTTCTTGCGGGCAGTTTGTAGTTCCGTGACGACTGCTGCGATCCTGGGACCGGATTGTTTCAGGGTCGTTGAAGAGGGTACCACGGGGTCTATCCCGTAATTCAGGCCGATGGTGCGTTGTTGTTCGCAAATTCCAGCATCAGGAGTGAGTCCTCCCACTTGCTTAGGTCCCGGCAGTTGGTTCGAATCAGTTGCTCCATTGTTTGGTTTGTCCGTTCTGTCTGTCCGTCGGTTTGCGGGTGGTATGACGACGAAAACTGCAGGCGGGTGCCGTACTACGCCCATGTCTCCTGCCAAAAATTCCACGTGAATTTTGGGTCTCGATCGTTGATGATCGCCAAAGGTAACCCGTGTAGGCACACGACAGTGGAGAAGAAGAGTTTTGCGGTATCTTCGGCTGTTATCGTCGTGCGGCATGGTGCAAAATGCGCCATTTTCGTGAATCGGTCAACGACGACCAACACTGAGTTGATGCCACTGGCGCCAGCTAGAAGCCCCGTGACGAAATTCATCGTCACTTGTTGTCACGGTCGTTCGGGTGGCTCGAGGGGTTGCAGCAGTCCGGCTGGCCTTTGTCGCAGCGACTTCATTGCTTCGCAGGTCGGGCATGTTGTCACGTAGCGCTGCACGTCGGTCAGCATATCGGGCGAATAGTAGTTCCTGCAGCAACCTGAGTGTTTTGTCAACGCCGAAATGCCAGGAGAAATTGGAGTCGTGTACTTGCTGCGTCAGCAATTCCCGTAAGGAAAGGTAGGCGGGTACCCAAATCCGATTCGTACCAGCTTTTAGGTAATAATTGTCGTGTTGCATAGTAGCTCGTTGGTGGAGATTCTTGAAAAACCTGTCAATCTTGTAGCCATGGGTGAATAGTCCTGTCAGCATCGGGTTGGTGCGGGCGATTAATACTGCTGCTGTTTGCATGGATGGGCAAGTCAAGGCGTTGGCGATGTTGTTGGCGCCTTTCTTGTACGTGATGGTGTACCGAAAATTGGACTCGAGGAAGTCCAACCACCGGATTTGTCGCAGGTTAAGTGTCGGTTGCGTGCGCATGTACTGTAGCGATTTGTGGTCAGTTTGAATCGTTACGTCGGCTCGCGAAATGCGTGGACGATGGCCAGCATCTCTTTGTCGTGGACTGGGTAGTTGCGCTCAGGCGGCTGCTGTCAAACATTATATGTGTTGTGTTTGTGTAGGCTGTAGTGGGTTAGCCTATAGGGGGGTCACAACATTAGGGTTTCATATTTGTACTCACAATCCTTTCTAGTTCACCATTCCAGTCCGTTATCACTGACATGGTTTCAGAGCAGGTCCGTCGCTAGGACTGTTCTTAGGGCCCACCTACCTACCTACCTACCTACCTACTGTGCGCCTCGTGCGCCTGCGCGTCCTAGAGCGCGCCTTACCTACCTACCACGCGCACGCAGCTCGCTAGCCGCCCGCGCGTGGCTTTCCTTTTTTTTACCGCGCGCGCCGTACTAGCCGCTCGCGCGCGGCCGTTTTCACGCGTGCGCCCCGCCAGCTGCCCGCGCGCGCCTTATTTTATTCGCGCGCGGCCCGTCGCACTGCCTCCCCGCTGCCCGCGCGCCTTTGCGCTGCTTGTCAGAATGTTGTAATTGTCTAGCCTGCAGTGGGGTACTCTATAGCGAGTACAACCCAAATTAGGGTTTCCTATATGTACCTTGCATGCTGCTAGTACAACCCCTCTTCTCTGTTCTATCTACTCGTTCTACCATCTCGATACTGCTGCCCGTGCGCCTCGTGGCCTCGCGCACTGCCCGCCGCTGCCCTGTGCGCCACGCTGACGCACCCGCTGCTGCAGCCGCCCGTCGCCTGCTCGCGCACGCCCCGCAGGCCCGCAGCCCGCCGTCGCAGAGGCCGCACGTCAGCAGCCGCCCGTCGCCTGCTCGCGCACACCCCGCAGCCGCCCGTCGCCTGCTCGCGCACGCCCCGCAGCCGCTCGTCGCCTGCTCGCGCACGCCCCGCTGCCCGTAGCCGCCCGTGCGCCGCTGCCACTGCCGCACGTGCGCATACGCAGCTGCCGCCCGTGCGCTGCTTCCGCTGCTGCTTGCGCACCGCCGCCTCCTGCCGTCGCCGCACGTGCACTGCTGCCGCCTGTGCGCCGCCGCTGCCCGTGTGCCGCCGCTGCCCCTACGCTGCCGCTGCCCATGCGCCGCTGCTGCCCGTGCGTCGCTGCCGCTCGTGCACCGCTCGCAGCCGCTGCCGCCCGTGCGCTTCTGCAGCCGCCGCCCGCGAGGCGCTCGCTCCCACTGTTTTTTCTACCTACCGCGCACACTGCTGCCGCTGCAGCTGCCACCAGTGCGCCGTTGCAGCTCCTGCTGCCACGCTCCCTACTACTGCCGCTCGTGTGCCACTACGGACAGTCGACCCCGCCCGCGCCTTACCTAGCGGCCCCGCCGGCCCCGTTGACCCTACGCACACCTTTCCAGCGGCCTAGTTCCTACTCCTACTACTGTCACTATGGCTAGTCCTCCCGTTCTAGCTTTCGATGCCGAGGGCCGTCCGGTGAAGTTCGAAACCTGGCTAGATGACCTGCACCTGTTCCTACAGCTCACTGCCAAAGAAGACATCTCGCTGTACGACCACGCCCTAGGCCATGCTACTGCCCCTGACACGTCTGCTGACAGCACTCTACGCTCTCAGTGGCAGACTCGTGATGCGCACGCTCGCTTTGCTATTCGCAACTCCCTGCCGCTAGACGAGCGCGAGCACTTCGGCCAGTGCAAGACTGCTAAGGACCTCTACACCGCTGTAGTTGCCCGTTACTCCTCACCCGCTTCTGCTACGCTAGGCCGCCTCACTCTCCCCTACCTGTTCCCCGACCTAGCCTCCTTTCACACTGTCGCAGACCTCATCACCCACCTTAAGACTAGTGAGGCCCGCTTTCGCGCTGCTATGCCTGCCGAGTTTCTCACTAGCAACCCCCCCCCGCTCTGGATCACTCTCTACCACATCGTCACCCGCCTCCCTGACTCTCTGCGCGCAGTCAGGGACCACTTCCTCTCTCGCTCCCCCACTGAGCTCACTGTTGCCCTCCTCGAGAAGGAACTGCTTGCAGCTGAGGCGAGCATCGTCGCTGTAGGCACCTCTCGTGGCGACCCCCGCACCCCGTTCTTCGAGGGGTGTTCCCCTTCCCCCCTCCTCCCCTCTGTCGCCTCTGCTGCTGCTGTCGACCTCCTTGGTGCTGAGAAGGTCGGAACCGCGTCTGCTTCGAGCGGGCGCCGCAGGAACAAGGGGGGCAGGGGTGGGGGTGGCGGCGGAGGAGGTGGGGGTGGAGGCGGTGGGAGTGGAGGCGCGACTGGGGAGGCTAGTGGCGGCAGTGGGGGAGGAGACAGCAGCGGCGGGAGCGGTGGCAGGGGTGGAGGCGGCAGCGGAGGTGGAGGTGGTCGTGGCGGCGGCAGGGGTGGAGGTGGCCGAGGCGGTGGTGGTGGCGGTGGTGGTCGTGGAGGCACTGGCGGAGGCCCGAGTCAGCAGCCCGCCCCGACGCTTCAGGCCGCCCGTGAGTGGTATGCGCAGCGTGGCTTTACCTGCACGTACGTCATTCGCACAGGTGACCGCAGCGGCCAGCAGTGTGGGAGGCCGCACCCCACGCACCGCTGCTTCGCGCGCCTTAACGACGCGTGGCGCACCCAGTTTCCTGATGCCGCTGAGCTGCCGCGCTGGGCTGATCTGGAAAAGAGGGGTATTGATATTTGGGCTCTAGACTTTGATGCTATTCTCACTGCCATGTATGCCATGTCTATTAGTGGAGAGGGTGCTCAGTACTTGCGTGTTCCGCCCGACCCGGGCATTCAGGCCAGTCCGGCTGCCGCTCTAGGTGCTAGTGCGTCTGCTCCCACAGGTCCTGGTGAGGCTGCTGCCCTAGGTGCTAGTGCGTCCGTGCCCCCTGGTACTGAGTTGACTGCAGCACTGCACACCTTCACACTGGACTCAGGTGCCTCTCGCTCTTTCTTTCGTGACCGCACTGTCCTTGAGCCACTCGCTCGGCCAGTTGCTGTCTCCCTTGCTGACCCCTCTGGGGGTCCGGTCATTGCGACCTCCTCCACTGTTCTTCCTTGTCCTGCGGTCCCGTCCGGCACGCTTTCAGGTCTCTACCTCCCCTCGTTCTCTACGAACTTGGTGGCGGGTTGTGCGCTCCAGGACTCGGGTGTTCACCAGTTCACCCCTGCCTACGAGCGCGTGACACACTGCACATGTGCTCGGACGGGTCGCCACCTGGCTACTTTCACTCGAGAGCCGGGGTCGGACCTGTACACACTGACCACTGAGTCCCCTCAGGTAGCTGCGTCTGCGTCTACGTCTGCGTCTGCGTCAGGTCAGCTGTCCGCCCCCTGCTCGTGTCGCTCTCTGGCGCATGAGACTGTCCTTTGGCACCACCGCCTTGGTCACCCGTCTGTGCAGCGCCTTCGGACCATGCACAAACGGGACCTTGTTGCTGGTCTTCCCAGGGTGCTCCCTCCCCTTCCCGACTCGCCTGCTCCTCCCTGTATTCCCTGTGTCGAGGGGCGGCAGCGCGCCGCTCCTCACTCCTCCTCCTTTCCCCCGACGACTGCTCCCTTGCAGACGCTCCACTTGGACGTGTGGGGCCCAGCCCGCGTCCGTGGACAGGGTCAGGAGCGGTACTTCCTGCTCGTTGTTGACGACTTCTCGCGCTACACCACGGTCTTCCCCTTGCGAGCCAAGGGTGACGTACCTGATGTCTTGATCCCTTGGATCCGCAGATCTCGTCTCCAGCTCACCAGGCGTTTCCGCTCCGACTTTCCTGTCCTGCGTCTGCACTCTGACAGAGGTGGGGAGTTTTCCTCTGGCCTCCTGGAGGCCTTCTGTCAGCAGGAGGGCATTGAGCAGTCGTTCACGCTTCCGGCCTCTCCACAGCAGAATGGGGTTGCTGAGCGCCGCATTGGTCTAGTCATGGAGGTCGCTCGTACCTCCTTGAGTCATGCGGCTGCCCCCATTTTCTGTGGCCGTTTGCGGTCCGATACGCTGCGCATCAGCTCAACCTCTGGCCCCGTGTCTCCTTGCACGAGACTTCTCCGACACTGCGTTGGACGGGAGAGGCTGGCGATGCGTCGCGTTTTCGGGTCTGGGGATCCCGAGCTTTTGTCCGCGACACGTCCGCGGACAAGCTCTCCCGTCGCGCTGTCCCCTGCGTCTTCCTTGGCTTTGTCCCGGACGCCCCTGGTTGGCAGTTCTACCACCCCACCTCGCGTCGTGTCCTGGCCTCTCAGGACGTCACTTTTGACGAGTCCGTCCCCTACTACCGCCTCTTCCCCTACCGCACTGCCCCGCTCCCCCCCCGCCTCTCTTCCTCGCTCCAGGTGCTGAGGTACCAGACCCCCTCCCCCCTCAGGGTGCCGCTCCCTCAGGTGTGTCCCAGGTAGACCCGGGTGAGCCGGTCGAGGTAGCTGTTGACTCTCGTCCTGCTAGGGGTGCTGAGTCTGGGGGTGCGGAGCCTGGGGGTGTTGAGCCTGGAGGTGCGGAGCCTGGCGGTGCGGAGCCTGGAGGTGCTGAGCCTGGGGGTGCGGAGTCTGGGGGTGCTGAGTCTGGGGGTGCTGAGACTGAGCGTGCTACACCTGGAGGAGCCCTCTCCTCCCAGCAGCTGCAGGAGAGGTACCTCGAGTACTGCCGCCTCTGGAGAGGTGCTGCTGGAGCTCGTCCCGGTACTTCCCCTCCTACCCAGGAGCTCCCCCCCATTCAGCAGATCCGAGAGTGGTACACACGCCGCTGCAGTCTTCGGAGTGGTCCTCCGGGTGCTGCGGACCTTGGGGGTGGCGCTGCTACTGGTGCTGAGGACCCGGGCGTTGGGGCTGCTGCTGGTGCTGAGGACCCGAGCACGCGTTGGAGCTGCTGCTGGTACTGCGGACCCGAGCGGTGGTGCTGCTGCTGGTGCTGAGGACCCGGCCGGTGGAGCTGCTGCTGGTGTTGAGGACCCGGACGTTGGAGCTGCTGCTGGTGCTGAGGACCCTGCCGCTGGTGTCTCTGCTGGTTCTGGAGACACTACGCGGCCGCGACCGTACTTCGTACCACTTCTTCAGCAGGTTCTTGGTCAGGCTCCTCCTCCCTGTCCTCCTCCCTCAGTAGAGTGTCCTCCGCGTGTCCAGTCGCCGTCACAGTTACCGCCTGCCTCGCCTCTCCCTGCTCCCTCTCCTTACACTGGTCCCACGGGAGGTCTTACAGAGCGTCGTGAGCCTGAGTCTCGTCCTGCGTCGCCTGTTCGTACTACTCGCACTGGTCGTCGTGTCCCACGTGAGCGTCCTCCTCCTGTCCCTGGCACTCACTACATGACTCTGCGTCCCTCCACTGCTCCTCAGCGCGTCCCTCTACCGTCTCCTCCTGCTTCCTCTCTGCCTACTCTTCCTGACCCGGAGTCTGACTCCCGTCGTGCTGCCAGTCCCACTGTCACCCGTCTCCTCGCTACTGTTGTCACTGACCCTGCCTTTGAGTCCTCTGCTGCGTCTGCTCTAGTCGCTGAGTTGATCGACTTTGCTGCCCGGTGTCGTCTAGACTACGCCACTAGCCTTGTTGCTGAGTCTGAGTCTGAGTCTGTCTGTCCTCCGTCCGTCGGGGGTGAGTGTGCTCTTGGCACGGACGTCCTTGAGGACAGACAGGAGGAGTTCCAGTGCTTTGCTGCTGCTTTACCCCACCTCGTGTCCATGCTAGTTGCCCCTGAGGGAGACCCGGATGTACCAGACATCCCGACCCCGCGCACTTACGCTGAGGCGATGGCGGGTCCCTACTCCTCTCAGTGGCAGACAGCCATGGACGCAGAGATGGCTTCCTGGAAGTCCACACGCACCTACGTCGACGAGGTTCCCCAACCTGGGGCGAACATCGTCAGTGGCATGTGGATTTTCAGGGTGAAGCGGCCACCGGGTTCTCCTCCTGTCTTCAAGGCGCGCTACGTGGCTCGAGGCTTCAGTCAGCGAGAGGGAGTTGACTTCTTTCAGACCTTCTCCCCCACCCCGAAGATGACCACTCTTCGGGTGCTGCTGCACATAGCCGCTCAGCGCGACTACGAGCTTCACTCACTTGACTTCAGCACTGCTTTCTTGCAGGGCAGCCTGCACGAGGAGATCTGGCTGCGCCGCCCTCCTGGCTTCACTGGGTCGGTTCCTCCTGGTACCCAGTGGAGGCTTCAGCGGCCGGTCTACGGTCTCCGCCAGGCACCGCGTGAGTGGCACGACACACTGAGGACGACACTTGCGGCTCTTGGGTTCGCTCCCTCTACTGCTGACCCGTCACTGTTTCTACGCACAGACACCTCACTGCCGCCGTTCTACATCCTCGTGTACGTCGACGACTTGGTCTTTGCCACTGCTGACACCGCGGCACTTGCCCACGTGAAGTCGGAGCTGCAGAGGAGACACACGTGTACAGACCTGGGTGAACTGACAAGCTATCTTGGCTTGCGGATCACCCGGGACAGAGCACGGCGCACCATCACCTTGACTCAGTCACACATGGTGCAGCAGATCCTTCAGCGCTTCCGCTTCACGTACTCCTCGCCTCAGTCCACTCCTCTGCCTACCGGTCACTCGCTCTCAGCTCTGCCTTCGGATGAGTCCGTAGAGCCGAGTGGCCCGTATCCAGAGCTTGTGGGCTGCCTCATGTACCTGATGACCTGCACTCGACCTGACCTTGCATACCCTCTTAGCATCCTTGCACGCTATGTCGCTCCTGGCCATCACAGGAAGGAGCATATGGATGCCGCTAAGAGGGTGTTGCGCTACTTGTGCAGTACGTCGGGCATGGGGCTAGTGCTTGGAGGGCGAGACCGAGTTGTACTTACTGGACACTCAGACGCTTCTTGGGCGGACGACCAGGCTACTCAGCGGTCGTCTCAGGGTTACACCTTCAGCCTTGGCTCCGGCTCAGTTTCTTGGCGTTCTACACGCTCTTCTTCTGTTCTCAGCTCCAGTTGTGAGGCTGAGATCTACGCCACAGCCATGGCTGCCCAGGAGCTTCGCTGGCTGACCTACCTGCTGACCGACTTGGGTGAGCGGCCTCGTTCTCCTCCAGTGCTGTACGTCGACAACCAGGCTGCCATTGCCTTGTGTGAGGAGCACAGACTGGAGCACAGAACGAAGCACATCGCCCTGCGGTACTTCCTTGCTCGAGAGCTGCAGCAGTGCGGTCAGCTTTGTCTGCGTTACGTGGCCACTGAGGCCAACCTTGCTGATGTGTTCACCAAGGCGCTTCCGCCTTGTGACCATCAGCGCTTCTGCACTCTGCTAGGCCTTGTGCCTACTGGACCTCACTTACTTACCTCTTGACCTTGCTTGTACTGTGATCACTATATATATATCTACCTGCATGTTTACTCTTGCTAGGTTGTGATCACTGTATCTCATGCTCTGTTATAAACCTGCATGTGAACTGGTCTTGTGACCACTAGCTTGTGCTCGGAATTTGTGTGGTATCCTTGAGATCCACCCTGAGCTTGTTGTTGCCTTGCTTTGCCTTGACTGGTCTTGTGACCCCTAGGTCTCCCCCACTTTGCCTATGGGGGTGTGTCAAACATTATATGTGTTGTGTTTGTGTAGGCTGTAGTGGGTTAGCCTATAGGGGGGTCACAACATTAGGGTTTCATATTTGTACTCACAATCCTTTCTAGTTCACCATTCCAGTCCGTTATCACTGACAGCTGCATCTTGCGTGATTCGTAGGCGATGGGTTGCAGCCCTTTGCCGAAGTCCTGTAGCAGGACGGCGCCAACGGCAAAATCGCTGGCGTCCGTTATGACTTCGAACAGTCGAGATGGGTCGGCAAGGCGGAGGACCGGGGGTGAACTCAAAATATTTTTGAGCGTGTCGAAGGCGGAATGCTCTCTCTCCCCCCACTGAAAGAAAGTGTCCTTGTGCAGCAGGTCGGTTAGTGGCTTGGTAATCCCTGCCATATTATGTACAAAACGGCGAACGTAGTTAACAAAACCCATAAAGCTTTGCAACTCTGGAATGTTAGTCGACGACTTTCATTTAGAGATTGCGTCCACTTTGCGGGGGTTGATTTTAATGCCCTGGCAAGAAACTACGTGGCTCAGAAACTCCAACTCTGGTTTTAGGAACTCGCACTTAGATCCCTTTGTGATAAGCCGGTTCTCCTGTAAGTGCCGGAGCACCTCCTCCAAGTCCTTTAAATGCTCTTCTTGCGTCTTACTATACACCAGGATATCGTCGAGATATACGATGACTTTTTTTTTTTTAGGAACTTCGTGGGCGCGTTGGTCAGTCGGCAAACACGCGAATTTGATGGTAGCCCCCTCGCAAATCAATCTTCGAGAAGAAGCGAGCCCGGCGAAGTTGATCCAGCAGGTCGTCCGCTCGCGGGATCGGTAACGCGATTTGATCATGACCCGATTTGCCCGATAATCAATACACATGCGTAGGCCCCCATCCTTCTTCGGCGTGAACATTATCGGTGTTGCAAATGGCGACGTGCTTGGTCGGATGAACCCCTTGGCGAGCAGGTAGTCCAGTTGACTGCGCAACTCGTCGAGCTCTGGTTGGCTGAGCCGCCACTGTGTCCGTACGTTGGGTTGCGCGCCAGGTCCAGCTGGATCCGATGATCTTCCGGACGCTGAGGTGGCAGACCGTTGGGCAAGTCGTCCGCGAAAATTTCGGGATACCTCTGAATGATGCTTGCCAGCATCTCAGGGACTGCCGCGCAGAGCGTGTCGATGTCGGTGATTTTTTCGGTGGTTGCTACCTCGTACAGGTGTACAGCGTAGCCTTGGGCCCCACTGTTGCTCGTCCGCCGCATGGTGATAGCGTTGACACGTGTCGTCACAGGCTCCGGGTCCGTCCATTTCGAAAGCTTCATCAGCCCCACAGTTCCTCGCACGGCGCACGCTCCCGTTTTCCAATCGATCGTTGGATTTTATCGCTGCAGCCACTCTCCTCCAAGTAGCACATCGCAGCCATCCAAAGTCGTCGCCAGCATCTTCATGCCGAACCCGAAATTGTCGCCACACTTAATCCGATTTTCTCGCGCCTCATCCCAGATGGCCAGCGGCGTCCCATCCACCAACCTTGCATCAATCTGCAGCAGACACCTGATCAGCTTCACCCCAATTTTTTTGGCCGTTGCCAGGTTGACGAGACTGTGGCTCGCCCCACCGTCAACGAATATTTCTATCTTGTAGCTGTTAACTCTCCCCACCACCAGCACAGGATAGTCCACGTGTTCACCCACGTTATTCGCTCGGGTGCGGTCGATAGCTCTGGTCGGTACCACGACTTGGTGTGGATGGTGATTGTCGGGCGACAGGGTCTCGTCAGTAGGGCGCCCGTCTGCTACTGACACGTTTCTTTTCCCGACCCTTCTCCGTCGTTCTTCTTCCCCTGCTTAAGCTTCGGGCAGATTTTTTTTTCAGGTGGCCCAGCTGGTTACATGCAAAGCACGGCCCCATGGCTCGGCTTGGCGCATCCACGCCGTTGATCGTGGGCTGCTGAGTCGATCCACGAAATCGAGGGCCCTCCCGGGAGCTCGATCTCACCCATTGCATCGATGCATCCGTTAATTGGCTTCCCGGACGACGTCGTTAAAGCTGCGTGGCCGCGTGCGTCGGACCTCATATTGCATCTCGTATTTGAGGCCCGCCACGTAGCGATCTAGCCGCTCCGCATCACTCATGTAGTCCACCTGGTCCGCCAAGCTGCAGAATGTGCTGGTGTAGTCTTGGACCGAAGTTAGCTGCTTCTAGGCACGCAGCTTCATGCGAGCAGAGTCCGAGGCGGATATGTGCTCGAATCTGGTTCGCAGGACGTCGCCCCACTCCCTCCATGTGCATATCGTGGCCATCCCGAAAATTGAAGCTGCTCGTTGTACGACAGGTGTCGAAGTCCCATCGTTCGCACGTGCTATTCCTGCCGAAGTCCCTTCATTTTGCAACGTTCGTCACCACCACTTCAGTGCAGGTCTTTGTAACAGTGATACAGCGAAGCTAATGCGGGTGGCATCGTCATTAATCATAGTAGCATTGAAAAAATCGACACCGAACAGCCATGCAGAAACAGTGGCAAATTTGTCACTTGGGTTAAACGGGGGTGGGTTTGTCGGCTTAATCTTGACAGTTGTTGAAGCTGTTATTGCTGCTGGGACTGTTATTGCTGCTCCTGTCGTCGCCGGGGTTGTTGCTGCTGCACGTGTCGGTGCTGCACGCGACTGTTGCGGTGACTGTTGCTGTTGTGCCTGCCTCGCATCGTCCGCATCCATGGAGCCTTCCAATTCGCTCCTGACCCGCTCATCAGGCGTGGTGCTGCTACTTGCGTCCTCGACGACAGGCGACTTGTGACGCGCTTCACCACGCGCCTGGTGTAGTTCGGCGTTTTCCTTCCTCGGGTGCACCATTTCCACGGTCATGGCCTGCATGTTGGCTTGCATCATCCGGAACTGTTGCATGAACACGTTGAGCTCGGCCTGCTCCATGTGTCTCAGGCTTCGCCTAACGGGCAGGAGGTGACTAGCGATTTTCCTGACTTTGATGAAGGCGCAAACACTATCGTAGTCGGAGTGAAATAATCGTATCTATTTTACGGGCCGGTCGCGGGGTCGCGAGATGGTTGGGTGCAGGTTTGGGTTTGGAAAACCCGAAGGCGACGAGATGGTGGTTTGGAAGGCGAGGTCGTTGGACCGAGCCTGGTTTCCGGGAATTGGAGTTGTACGGGTACTGTGTGACCCAGTGGGTTCATCCCCCTACTAACCCTTTGAATGAACACACCGTCGCAGAAAACGGGAGGATGCACGATTAGGTAGAGGCCCCTTTTCTCTGAGGTGCGCGAAAAAGTTGTAGGTTGCCGTTACCAACGCGAGCGGGAACTGAATGGCCCTGTTCGGTAGCACACCCAGTCACACTGCGGTTGGTGTAGGTGATCTTAGGACGCGTTGAAAGTAGACGATCGATCGTCAGTCGCGATCGATGTGCGGCTCAGTGACCCTATTTACTACGCTGTAACCATACTACAGTACGTTTTTAAGCCAGATTTCTGTACAGTGTGTGACTGATCACCGATAGCGGGAGATCTGTCAATTCTCAGCTGCGATCGTTACAACGTCGCGGTCGCCAAGTTGCGCCAATCGATCTGCCCACTCGATTGTGGGGATCGATATATGCATATGATCCGGCGATATTTGCACTTTCACCGCGTCCTTAGGCGGCCCAATTTCGATCTACCTTAAAGCCTACCATATCGTTATTAGAACACCAGACCTGCCCAGTGCGACTTGGCTACCGAACACGTCATCAACCACTCCGAGTGCAGTTGAAGACACTACCACGAAGTTGGCATGCCCTGGCAAACTCGACAGTCAGTGGAAGTCCATCCCATTTCAGCTTTCCAGTTCCACTCAGGCAGGCCCGCTCTGAGTGGGGCAGTCTTGTACAGCTGTAAAATTTCGTCCGGTAATTTCTTGACAAACACACGGTAACTTCACACAATATGGACGAAATTTCTTTTTAGTGCGAGTGGAGACCCGAGGCTACGAAACGTACCAGAGTCTTCCCCAGTTTGAGTGGGCCCAGTGTGACTGGGAGGCTACCGAACAGGGCCAATGTAATGATGGAATCGGAAGGCGCTCTAAAAGTGTGGGTGGGCACTGGCACAAATGCTGTTCTCATCTGAATGCCTGAGAGCTGTCGGTGGGGGGAACCTGCGACTCGTCAGGTTCCATCTGGCATCGCCTGAGCTCGTCAATCTCGTTGGGGTCCAAAAGCGTTCGCAATCTTCGTTCACTCCATTGTGAACTTATTTCGCCGAGCCGACTTTACCAGTCGTGACAGTTTCGCAGCAAGTAAGAGGATCCGCCGCCACAGCACGTAACGGTTCCTTGTGTTTCCCCTGCTCACCTCCTTCCTTTCCCCCCTTCCACCTTCCCCTGATTTTTCCAACGCTGGCAGGCTGCCCCCATACCTCGCCGACCATTGGCCAAGGCTGGCAGGCCGCACGCCAATCAGCAGGCTGACTCACCCCTCCCCCGTTCCCCCCTTGTTTTGTACTCGCCCCCATCCCCGCGCCCTCCCTTCCTGGGAATGTTTTGAACATTTCTCTACGGTTTGATCTGTTGCGGAGTGTTTCCCAAACGGTGATGCTGGTGAACTGTAACCGTGATGCGTGCGGGACATGTGAAATTCGAGCGGTATGCAAGAGCAGAACACGCCCTGGGATTCGCTGGCGTCCTGATCTGCCAAGCACCGTTTCTGACTGTTTCGGTGCCATCTAGAGCTCTTGTTTCTGCTTGCTGGGTTCGCAGCTTCCTCACGTTCACGGAGCCGGTGGGACTTGTATGCTGGTATTTTCGTGGAGCTTCTAGTTGTTGCGCGCTGGGTTTGAACCGAGGCCTCCTTCTACTCAATGCATATCGAATCTGGACGAATCTTGGAGTAGTGGACTTTCTCTGGCTTTGACCAATGGCCGCGCGACAAGTGGCAGTGCTTCTTCTCGCTTTAGCGGCCTCACTTTTAGTTACTTGTGAAGCGGGGAAGTATAACGGTCAGCAGCAGCTCGCCGCGATTCGCGGAGCGCTCAAATCCAAGAATTGCAAAACATTTGACGGTTACCTTGAATCGACCGGCTTTATTAAGAGCCTTCTGCCGGTTCTTAACGACTGGAACGTGACGGTTCTCGCGCCGCTCGATTCTGCCTGGAAAACGGATTCCGCGAAAAAGGACATGGCGGACAAGAAGAAGGCCCCGCAGATCATTGGTTACCACTTTCTCGTCGGCCGTCGAGCGTTCAAGGAGATGCTCCGTTACAAGACCGGCACTCAGGTGTGTATCGTGTGCCATTGTAACGAGGTGACTTTCGAGTCCACTCAACAGTCACCTCTAGAATATGCTCCGTTACAAGACCGTCACTCAGGTGTGTATCGTGTGCCATTGTAACGAGGTGACTTTTGAGTCGACTCAAAAGTCACCTCTAGAATATGCTCCGTTACAAGACCGGCACTGACGTGTGTGGTTCGTGTGTGGTTGCTAATACCTCAAAACAGCTCTCTTTTTCCTTCCGCAAAACGTCAATAAAAGAAAAAGAAGGAGATGCTAGGATATACTGATACCTCAGGATCCATGGTTCGGGACCAATAAAACGAACGCTTTAGGATCGCAGTCCCTCGTTGACAGGTATGCGTATTCATCATCTAGCTACGATAGGAAGGCACGCAGCAATGTGGCGGCGGTCGCTTCCAGGATGGTGGTTGATTCGATCACGCGTTGACGTGGGAAGTTCACCCGTGCCAAGCCTGCTGGTTGGGCTGTTGTTTACTACGGTAGCTCGGCTTGGTCCGACGGGAGGGGACGTGCGATATCTTGAGCTTTCACGGTAGCTGCACTCCGTATCACTCAATATGCAATCCGCCGCAGATTCGTCAACATACCGCGGATATCACCCTTATAAGATTCCGTCTAAAGAGTTGCAAGGGATGCAATGTAACCACGTAGGAATTTGTTTCAGGCGCATTGATACCAAGGTACCTTAATAGTCTACCATCCACATTATTATCGGTGGCTTCTGTGTTGCTTTCTGGACCAGTCAAGCGTCAGTTACTGCTCTCTCGTGTTGCTTCACTTCCTGTTTCCGCTCTCATCCCGTACCTCTGAATCACCGTCGCCCTGAGCAATGGAGTACCACTAATCATTATCACCATCCGCTTCTTAGCCTCTCTTTTTCCCCCTGTCCGTTACAGATGGTGGCTCTTAATTATCAAATGAAGATGTTGAATGTACGTGCGCCGTCAGGAGTGGTGCGCTTGGGGGCGTCCGTCGGAGCCAAGTACACGGGAAAAATTGTGAAGCCAGGCTTATTCACTGGAAAGATCAATATAGTGCATGGCGTTGACACCGTGATTCGCCCGCCGTGGTACCAGGGGGTCAAGTGAGAGCATCGACTCTACATCCTAGATACAGCAAGTGATAAGAAAACTGCATGGGACCTTGTGCTGTGCATGGAGTATGTGTATGTTGGGGTATTGCAAATTAGTCAGTTATCTTTGGCAAATAACTTGTCTATATAGGTCGCCACTGTAGACATTCGCTGGAACTGTACCAAGAAGAACTCAACAAGGAATTGAAACAAAACAGTAGGCTCAATCCGAGCCAAAAATACAAAAGGTTCCCCAACACGGCCTCAAACACATGGCAACAATAGGTCACCACCTCCTTTCACATGTACAGGATGGTTGATGAGAGGCAGTGAGGAAGGGAAGAGGTCGCTGCATCCCATCCCATCTAGCCTGATTATGACTGGTGCTTGATGTGAGAGTCCTCCCATCCCATCTCATTGGTGTGACACAGCCCTTTAAGACTGGCGCTTGATGGCGTTGCGAATGTTCTCCAGCACCAACCATGCCGCCTCCCCTCCCACCGTTTCCTCCACCTTCTCATTCTCCTTCCAGATCTGGAAGAACACCGAATGAAAGAAGACAGCATGCAGACGTAGCATGCCCAGACACAGCATGAATACAACAGCACAATAAGGAGATGGCAGTAAGAAGAGTGTGCTAACATTAGCATCATGACGTGTGTGTTGTAATATGCCTATTTTTTTATATTCTGCTTCAAGATCTGACCGAATAGGGCAGGGGTCGGAAATTTTGCGATGCTGAGATGACGACTGTGCTGACAATGTGACAAGCATGTGTGAGATCGAGCATGTGTGTGCATGTGTGATGCCTGTATGTCTGTGTGCGTGAGTGATAGTGTTCGTGTCTGGATGGCCATTAATTCTGGATGTGTGTGTGTGTGTCTGTGTGTGTGTGTGTGTGTGTGTGCGTGTGTGCGTGTGTGTGTGTGTGTGTGCGTGTGTGTGTGCATGCGTGTGCCTGTGAGCGTGTCTGGTGTGTGGTGTATGTGTGTGTGTCTGGTGTGCGTGGTTCGAACAACCATACCAGACCAACAGGTGTAGTGTACCTGAATCGTTGGCATTTTCTGTTGCCACGTCAGGAGCCGCAACATCACCATGCATGAAACAGAGAAGCCGGGCGAAAGGAATGAAAGGAAGGGTACACATGAATCAGAAAAAAATACAACACATATGGATGGATGTTACGAGAAAGTTCAACAGCAGAGGGAGTAACAGCTACAGAAAGAGTGCAAGTTCAACAGCAGAGGGAGTAACAGCTACAGAAAGAGTGCAAGTTCAACAGCAGAGGGAGTAACAGCTACAGAAAGAGTGCAAGTTCAACAGCAGCATCAAGACATGTGGTGCCAACACAGAGAAGCAGCCCGTGTGCCGGTGCTTCACATTTTCTTGTGTCCAGCACAAGAAGAGAACCGAGCTGAGGTCCACCATATGTTTTTTGAGAATTCTCAAAAAACACAAGAAGAGAACCTTGTCGAGGTCCACCACTGTGACTCCCCTCCTCTGCCCCATCTTCATCGGACATCCGCAGCACAAAAAGGAGCCACAAGTACTCACCGTGACTCCTCCCCTTTGCACCATCTTCATCGGCACCTTGTTGACATCCACCACGAAGAATCGCACCCTACTGCCGCCCCTCAGAGCGAAGCGATAGTTGACCAGCCATTGACCAGCCATTGACCAGCGTTGACCAGCCGTTGACCAGCAGTCAATGCACACAGCAATGCAGCCACCACAGCCAACGGTATCACGGCGCGTTACGGCACGGGATGCAGAGACGCAGGGCACAGAGCACAGCAGGGGGCGAAGGGCAGAGAGACGCAAGGAGGGGACGTGGCGTTAGTTTTAAGGGCAAATAGGAGAGAGAGGTGAACTCTGGAGAGGTGAACTCTGGAGGAATGAGATCGGTCGAGAGGGAGAGGCATAACAGGACGCGGAGTACTTGTGGGGTGTGGGGGAGTGGGGGGTGTGGGGGGTGTGGGGGGAGTGGGGGGAGTGGGGGGTGTGGGGGGTGTGGGGGGTGGGGGGTGTGGGGGGTGTGGGGGGAGTGGGGGGAGTGGGGGGTGTGGGGGGTGGGGGGTGTGGGGGGAGTGGGGGGTGTGGGGGGAGTGGGGGGTGTGGGGGGTGGGGGGTGTGGGGGGTGTGGGGGGTGTGGGGGGAGTGGGGGGAGTGGGGGGAGTGGGGGGAGTGGGGGGAGTGTGGGGGTGTGGGGGGTGTGGGGTGTGGGGGGAGTGGGGGGTGTGGGGGAAGTGGGGGGAGTGGGGGGTGTGGGGGGTGTGGGGGTGTGGGGGGAGTGGGGGGTGTGGGGGGTGTGGGGGGAGTGGGGGGAGTGGGGGGTGTGGGGGGTGTGGGGGGTGTGGGGGGTGTGGGGGGTGTGGGGGGTGTGGGGGGAGTGGGGGGTGTGGGGGGTGTGGGGGGTGTGGGGGGTGGGGGGAGTGGGGGGAGTGGGGGGAGTGGGGGGAGTGGGGGGAGTGGGGGGTGTGGGGGGAGTGGGGGGTGTGGGGGGTGTGGGGGGTGTGGGAGAGTGGAAAGGTAGAGAGATGCAACGAGGGGAAGCTAGTGGAAGGGACAAGGAGGTATGAGAAATAGAAAGGCAAGGGACAAGGAGAAATAGAGAGATAGAAAGGAGTATGAGAAGAGAAAAGCAATTGGAGAAACGTGAGGGCAAGGGATCGGGTTGGGAAGAGATAATCACGAGGGCGGGAGAGAAAGGGCGGAAACGAAAGGGCAGAGCAGCAAGGGTGGAAGTGGAAAGGCGGTCGGGGTCCCTGACTTGGGGTACTCGGGTACGAGCTTCTCGATCTTGGGCTTTAAGTAGATGCACTTGCGACACCACTGCGCCATCCTGGTAGGGGAAGGCGCGGAGAGAATAGATTTAAAATCGTGTATCATTAATTATGTGTAGGTTAAGAATATAAGGAGGTGGACCAGCGAGACCACTAACTTGTGATTTTATGGGGGGAGGGAGTCGCCGGAATTCGCGGCGTTCATACAAAAGGGTAACCGGTTATGAATGGATATTTGATCAAAGACTACGTTGGAGCACGATGGTAACAAGAAATGAGGTTTGAAAGTACAAAACTATCGCAGAGCAGCTTTGATAATGTGCTAGGTGCGACAGGAGATGATCGTTTGTGGCGGCATGAGGGCAATAGGTACGAGCCAGTGGAAACAGGAGCTGAGCTTGAAGCAATGCTTACGATAACACACGATGGTTACACACTGGTTACACGATGGTTGCCAATTAACGAGAACAACATCGCGCGATCCACGGCGTGCTTGAGCAATCGCGTAGCAGTAGCATTTACGATATAAGGTTACGAACGAACAAGATGATTACACGAGCTTACCAGTCAATAAGAACGAGGTCGCCGCAATCCGCGGCGTCCTTCAGTACCCAATCCAGCTCCTGTTCGCTCGTGATTTCGTGAAACGAGTTCGGCAGTCGCGGCGTGCCGTCCGCCGCGCTTTCCGCGTAAGCCGCCATGACGCGCGGCGGAGCCGCGATGTCCGCGCGGCGGGAGTGACAGTAGCGGGAGGTTGACTGCGGAGGGAGCGACGGTGCGAGCGGGCGCGTCTGCGAGGCGGTGACCGCGAGCGGGGACGATTGGCAGCGCGCGCCGTTACTCGTACCTTGCCTCGGGCGGAAGCAGTCGGATGAAATGGCGGGAAGAGATTGGGCAGACAGTGCGAAATGCGACGCGAGGGACGACATGATCGATGACGGCGACAGCTACGAAGAATGCGATTTGTTGTTCGTTAGTTTCGCGAGGCTAAGGTCGCTGTGAGACGCAACTAGGTGTAAGGCTGGAATCTACAGAAACACTGCCAGGAAATCACTTCGAGCTTGTCAGGAGCGAAAGAAGGAATGGAGAGTGTGAAATTCCGCAGCCCAATTTATAGTTGCTAGTGAGGTGGGAAGGCAAGTGGTGGGGTGGGGGAGGGGGAGGGAATGGGGTTTGGTTCGAGTTGGGCTGTGAGGGGGAGTATGGCAGGCGGGAAAGAGCGGGGAGTCGGGGGGACCTGGGGCGGATGAAAGGCTCAGGAGCGGAAGTGTCTCTCCGCCGCAACGCAACCCCTCTCCCCCACACCTGGTCCCGCCCCCACACTCCCCCAAACCAAACCTGGGACTAAAGGTCTGGGGTGGTGGGATGATTTCTCCGCTTTGCTGCTGCTTAAGCGCGGCGCGAGAATGCATCCTTGGCAGGTGAATTTTGAGCACCGCAGACGTGGCACCTCAGCTGGCATTCGTGGGTAGGCTGACCAGTGGGGTCGCGGAAAATTGTGGAGTTATGTGTCCTCCTGAAAATCCCCTCAACTACCATTTATGTGGTGAGAAATTTTGACCTGTGCTGCGCTGGGCAGATGGCTGTGGGCGATATCAAAGGGTAAGTTGGGGGATGAGGTGGAATGACAGTGACAGTTCCTACATTCTGGAACGACACGTCAGCGCCTTTAGGTATCCGTGCCAAGTCAGATGAGCTCCAGCGACTCGCAGGTGGGATAATCGCTCAAATCTGCGGTCCGGACTAATATCCGACACAGTATGATTCAGTTTCCGTGAGCAACAAGTCTGGAGACGTCCAGAACTCCATACAATAGTTGTTGCAAGAACTGGATGTGAGTGCTGTGAATTGATTATTTCTCCGCATTATCTACTCATAAAAACGTAATAAAAATTCTAAGAAGCTTTTTATAAGTTATATTTTTAGGATAAAACTAGCTGAGATTATGATTTCAGTCCCATTATTTGTTTAATCCATTAATAAACAAAGTGTACCACCGTTTGTTACAGATGATAAGAATGATTACTGTAAGCTGGACAACGTGAAGGGAATGCTGTATGTGTTGCTTTTATTTCAAGTGAGAAGTGTAAGGACACAAGAAATTAGCAATTTTGGAGAGGAATATATTCTCGGAATATACCTTTTGTCAAACGCAAAGCATCTTTCTGCTTCGCTCAGACTTGTGACCATCCAGCTCGTTCATTTGTGATTCGTCGGGCACCTGAAACCTCGA